ATTGCACCCTCCCTACACATCAAATTCATACCTCCTCCATATAAAAACCTGGCACCCCTTTACCTAAAGTTCATACACCCCCTTCACATAAAAATCCTGCACCAACCCTACACATAAAAATTTTGCACCCCCCGACACATAAAAACCCTGCACGCCCCCACACATAAAAACCATGCACCCTCCCTACACAAATTCATATCCCTTTCATATAAAAACCCTGCACCCCCTTTACATAAAGTTCATACACCTCCTACACATATAAATCCTGCACCACTTCTTCACATAAAAACCCTGCACCCTTCTTACACATCACCCATTCGCATAAAAACCCTGCACCCTTCTTACACATCACCCATTCACATAAAAACCCTGCACCCCCTTTACACATCCCCCTTTCACACAAATACCCTGTACCCCCACACATAAAAACCCTCTACTAGGCATGTGCATGGGAAAAGATTTCGGTTCGGTTCGGAACTTCGGCAACTTTGGCACTTCGACACTTCGGAGATTCGGTAATTTCGGACCTTCGGGACCTCGGAACTTGGACAACTTCGGCACTTCAGGACTTCGGAATTTCTCTTGCAGCCGCTTGGTAGAAAACTCCCTAATTCCCACGGTATTAGGGCGTTATCTACCAAAAGGCTGAAAGACCTAAATTGGTCTTTCAGCCAAATTTACTAATACTAAGTAAAAATTACTTAGTATTAGTAAATTGTACCCCTACTCGCTATACTGCGAGTAGGGGCATTTAAACTAAAGGGGGGGCCTATTGCCCCCCCGGACACCACCCTTGAGTGGCGGATGGGGGCCCTAAAGTAAAGTAATGGGGGGGACTTATTGTCCTCCCCCCAGCCCCCACCCCTGAGCGGCGGGTGGGAGCCCTAAAGTAAAATAATGGGGGGGGACCTATTGTCCTCCCCCCCCTGGACCCCACCCCTGAGCGGTGGGTGGAGGCCCTAAATACTAATTAGGGGGGGACCTAATGTCCTCCCCCCTGGCCCCCACCCCTGAGTGGTGGGTGGAGGCCCTAAATTAGAATGAGGGGGAGGACCTAATGTCCTCCCCCTTGGCCCCCACCCCTGAGCGGTGGTTGGGGGCCCTAAATTAGAATGAGGGAGGACCTAATGTCCTCCCCCCTGGCCCCCACCCCTGAGCGGTGGGTGGGGGCCCTAAATTAGAATGAGGGGGAGGACCTAATGTCCTCCCCCCTGGCCCCCATCCCTGAGCGGTGGGTGGGGGCCCTAAATTAGAATGAGGGGGAGGACCTAATGTCCTCCCCCCAGGCACCCACCCCTGAGTGGTGGGTGGGGGCCCTAAAATACTTATTGGGGGGGACCTAATGTCCTCCCCTCTGGCCCCCACCCCTGAGCGGCGGGTGGAGGCCCTAAAGTAAAATAATGGGGGGGGACCTAATGTCCTCCCCCTGGCCCCACCCCTGAGCGGTGGGTGAGGGCCCTAAATTAGAATAAGGGGGAATAAAGAATAAAGCCTTGCCCCGCTCTGCAATTAGGCTCAGAGCACTCTGATTGGTGGGTTTAAGCCATCCAATCAGAGTGCTCTGACAGGTAAATGAAGAGACTGACAGGTAAGTCTCTACATTTACCTGTCACAGCTCTCTGGTTGGTTTGAAATCCACCAATCAGAGTGCTCTGTGTCATTTTACACAGCATGGGAAAGTTCTTTGGAATTTTCCCACGCTGTGTAATTTGACTCATAACTCTCTGACTGGTGGATTAAAGGACCACTATAGTTCCAGAAAAACATACTCGTTTTCCTGGCACTATAGTGCCTTGAAGGTGCCCCCACCCTCAGGGTCCCACTCCCACCAGGCTCTAGGGGGAGGAAGGGGTTAAACTTACCTCTTTCTCCAGCAACGGGCGGGGAGCTCTCCTCCCTCTTCGCAGCAAGAGCCGCACATGCATTCAGCCAGTCCATTATCAATGCTTTCCTATGGACGCTGGCATCTTCTCACTGTAAAAATCACAGTGAGAAGCGCGGAAGCCCTCTAGCGGCTGTCAATGAGACAGCCACTAGAGGCTGGATTAACCCATGGGTAAACATAGCCGTTTCTCTGAAATGGCTATGTTTACAGAAAAAAGGGTTAATCCTAGCTGGACCTGGCACCCAGACCACTTCATTAAGCTGAAGTGGTCTGGGTGCCTATAGTGGTCCTTTAAGTAACCAATCAGAGTGTTATGAGTCAAATTATACAGCGTGGGAAAATTCCAAAGAACTTTCCCATTCTGTGTAAAATGACACAGAGCACTCTGATTGGTTGGTTTGAAATCCACCAATCAGAGTGCTGTGACAGTTAAATGTAGAGACTTACCTTAAACCCACCAATCAGAGTGCTCTGAGCCTAATTGCAGGGCGGGGCAATGCTTTATAAGCCTTCCTCCGCCCTGCAGAGCTCAGTCTGCGCGGAGCCCTCGCCGGGTGAAGATGGATTTTTTTTTTTTGCGCTAGTTTTTTTAGTTTTTTTTAAGTGCGTCGGTTATTATGGATTTTTATTTGGTCTTTTTTGGGGCTGAAAAAAGAAGATTTTAGAAGAAAGAAAACATCAAAAGTTTTATTTTATTTTTTTCAGGTACTTTGTTAAATGGTCCCCCCTCATTATGTTTTAGGGTGAGGGAGGTAGGTAGGGATTAATTTTTTGGGGGAGGGGGATGACTAGGGGTTTAGGGCCCCCTAGTCACCCGGGGGAGGGGGGGTTATTATTTTTTTTTATTTAGGGCCCCCACCCACCACTCAGGGGTGGGGGCCAAGGGGAGGACATTAGGTCCCCCCCTAATTAGTATTTAGGGCCCCCACCCTCCGCTCAGGGGTGGAGGCCCAGGGGGGAGGACATTAGGTCCCCTCTAATTAGTATTTTAGGGCCCCCACCCACCGCTCAGGGGTGTGGGACAGGGGAGGACATTAGGTTAGTAGTTAGGGCCCCCACCCTCCGCTCAGGGGTGGGGGCCCAGGGGGGAGGACATTAGGTCCCCCCTAATTAGTATTTTAGGGCCCCCACCCACCGCTCAGGGGTGGGGGACAGGGGAGGACATTAGGTTAGTAGTTAGGGCCCCCACCCTCCGCTCAGGGGTGGGGGCCAGGGGGGAGGACATTAGGTCCCCCCCAATTAGTATTTAGGGCCCCCACCTGCCGCTCAGGGGTGGGGGCCACGGGGAGTACAATAGGTCCCCCCCTTATTTTACTTTAGGGCCCCCACCCCTGAACGGCAATAGGTCCCCCCTTCAGGTTAGGAGGGGGGACTTGTTTTTTTTTTTTTTTTTTAACAGGCTGCTCACTGTTTACTAGACATGCCCCTACTCGCGGTATAGCGAGTAGGGGCATAATTTACTAATACTAAGTAATCTTTACGTATTAGTAAATGTGGCTGAAAGACCATTTCAGGTCTTTCAGCCTTTTAGTAGATAGCTCTCTAATATCGTGGGAATTAGGGAGTTATCTACTTATTCATTCCTGTCATTCCATTGACAGGCTAAGTAACTTACATTTTATATGAATGTGTGTTACTTGATTGTTGTAAGTGTTGCAAATTATTACAGCTGAATCTTGGCTATGTTTGTATACTTTTTATTTAAAATTGTATACAGTGTAACATTCTTCTTCTTCCACTGGGTAAGGATATTAGTACTTAGGCAATACCGTGCTTAGGCACTTCGCAACTTCGGCACTTCAGAAATTCAGAATTCCTTCATGCCATAGTGTTGGATGTTTCTGTAATATTTAGTCACAAGTTACTCTGCCAAGAGCAGAGATTGGCAAGAAGGCATTCTGCCCTTAGACATTGAGAAAAAATACTTTTGGAATCTAGAACCTAGGAGTCGAATTTAAAAGGGCTAACCATGACCCATAACCTGTCCCTTACATCCAACTCTATAAAAATGTACTCATATTCTATACATCAAGACCTACACTAATTACCACTAAAAAATTCTTATTTCGATTTAATTCAATCTAAGTCTCGCTGTCTACTAATTGGCTATTTTGAAAACCTTTGCTACATATTAGCAGAAGGAATTACCTTTGCTAGATATTAGCAGAAGGAATTACCTTTGCTACATATTAGCAGAAGGAATTACCTTTGCTACATATTAGCAGGAGGTATTACCTTTGCTACATATTAGCAGGAGGTATTACCTTTGCTACATATTAGCAGGAGGTATTACCTTTGCTACATATTGGCAGGAGGTATTATCTTTGCTACATATTAGCAGGAGGTATTACCTTTGCTACATATTAGCAGGAGGTATTACCTTTGCTACATATTAGCAGGAGGTATTACCTTTGCTACATATTAGCAGGAGGTATTACCTTTGCTACATATTGGCAGGAGGTATTACCTTTGCTACATATTAACAGGAGGTATTACCTTTGCTACATATTGGCAGGAGGTATTATCTTTGCTACATATTAGCAGGAGGTATTACCTTTGCTACATATTAGCAGGAGGTATTACCTTTGCTACATATTAGCAGGAGGTATTACCTTTGCTACATATTAACAGGAGGTATTACCTTTGCTACATATTGGCAGGAGGTATTACATTTGCTACATATTGGCAGGAGGTATTAGCGGTAGAAAGAGAGAAGTGCTCATGTCACTTGGAGTATTTTACACAGTACTGAAGACCATATCTCCAGAAGGATATTGATACTTTGGAGAGAGTTCAGAGAAGGGCTACTAAACTGGTTCATGGATTGCAAGATAAAACTTACAAGGAAAGGTTAAAGGATCTTAACACGTATAGCTTGGAGGAAAGACGAGACGGGGGGATATGACAGAAAGATTTAAGTACATAAAGGGAATAAATACAGTAAAGGAGGAAACTATATTTAAAAGAATAAAAACTACCACAATAAGAGGACATAAAATTAGAGGGGCAAAGGTTAAAAAATAATATCAGGAAGTATTACTTTACTGAGAGGGTAGTGGTTGCATGGAATAGCCTTCCAGCTGAAGTGGTAGAGGTTAACACAGTAAAGGAGTTTAAGCATGTGTGGGATAGGCATAAGGCTATCCTAACTATAAGATACGGTGAGGGACTAATGAAAGTATTTAGAAAATTGGGCAGACTAGATGGGCCGAATGGTTCTTATCTGCCATCACATTCTATGTTACATTACTATCTTTCTTTATCATCTCTCTGCCATGCAATGTTCTGACTCTTTTTTCTATGATGGCCAACATGATGTTTCTCAAAATAAACCACTTTTGGTAGGTACTAATTATTGCATACCAGGAACACCCCACAAGACTTGCCATTTTGGAGACTCGGTCCCATGCATCTAGCCATCACTATTTGACCCTCACCAAAGTCACTCTGATCTTTTCGCTTGCCCATTTTTCCTGTTTCCAACACATGAAATTCAAGAACTGACTTTTAACTTGCTGCCTAATATATCCCACCCCTTGACAGGTGCCATTTTAATTATAATCAGATATTCACTTCACATGTACACTGATTTTGTGGCAGATCAGTGTACATGCTATATGAATGATTATATAGTGCTAGTACTACTCAGAGAATCTTCAGAAACACTTCTGTCCATATTAAAGAATGTTAAAGAAGAATTGATTGCTATCAAGACTATACAGACAGGCATGTTGTATGTCCAAGATGTTATGGGGGGAGGTCACTTGGGCTCTGTTCTTCAATAGTATAGGATGTTGCACCTCGTGTTCTCTGTCCTCCATCTTCTTATTTCCAGATGTCTTAACATGTAACATTCCCAAGCATAGATTTTCTGTAATAGTGGTAGATAATGCTGACAAAGCATTACTTAACCCAGTGCACTTGAGTAGATGCTGGTGAGGAACTGAAAGACTGCAGGGTAAAAAGTTATCCCATCAACTAGAATACAAGGGCCAGGTAAAATGTACAGATAGGGATTCCGAGCTAAGATACCTTTTAATGAAAGACAAAATCCCAAGGCACCTAGTTTTTTTTCTCTTTTCTTTATACAGTGACACTGTTTTCTCCATCAGCAGTTTTATAAATGTCATATCTATTTATAGTCCCAATAGCAAAATGTATACTTGCATGATATGTTATTAACGCTCTGAAGTCTATGCATTCCTGGTAGGCTTTAGGATGGGTTGAAAACCATTGGTATAGATGAGGACAATGTTGTCCCATGCCCTTTTCAGATCTTTTCCTTCCTGTATGGTATGGAGGAGCTTACTGGAACTCTTCACTAAAAAAAATGATTATCAGAAAAAGCCATGCTAGAAAACTAATCCACTCACTTCAGCAGATTTAGGCACTTTTCAAACTCTGCTCCTTTTGCCTAAATATTGCAAATTGGTAGTCATATCAGGTATTAGCATAACTCAAAATCATAGGAGAAAAATTGAAGTCGGGCAGTGTTTTCTAATAGCAGCCTCCAGTAAAACTCTTTGTATTCAGTTACCTCCCATAGAATGGACACAGGGAAGCATTATTAAGTATGGTATCTATTACAGGATTTGTTGGTGGTTTATTTTTCTAAATACTACATTTTAGAAACAGATCATGAAACCACAATAAACAAATACATTTTAGACTTAATTACATGGCATTTAATGTTCTTATATGCTACAGCCAATATATACTGGATAAACACAGTCTGAGTTTGAACAGGAATTGCTAAAAATAATAGAAAATGCTAATTGCTGCACTATTGATGATTTTGACAAGTGACCTGGCACGGTATATTAGTGTGAAATGTTATTTCTTTCTTTTGTATTGAAGCACTGTTTCTTCCTGTTTAAGATAACATATAAGACTATCTTTCTGTGTCAGGGTTCAGTTTTCAAGAGACTCGATTCAGTTTTCTCCTCAAATTAAAGCCAAGATATTCAGATTATTTTTTTTGTGAATAATGTAAAAATGTACATCCAGTTAAAGATCTGAAACCCAGTGTTAAATATGTTCTTGAGGATTATTGAAAAAACCCTGAATTCTAATAATTTGAAAACTGAATTACAAAATGTGTAGGCTAAAAATTTACCGTATTTTCCAGCGTATAAGACGACTTTTTAACCCTTGAAAATCTTTTCAAATGTCGGGGGTCGTCTTATACACTGGGTATCGAAACCGGACTGGAGAATCTGTGGGTAATGTTAACAGGATTGGTCGAGCTTTAAGTTGCAGTGGTTAAGTGGGGATAGTTTATACCGAGACAGCCTGGTCTATGGGACGAGTGTACTATAATTGGACAGTCACACAAGGACGCTTTACTAATGCGGAACTCTTTTCTTTTGCCTTTTTCCATGTACCGGTATATGTCCAATTATAGTACACTTGGTCTGCCTACTCAGCTGACTATAACCGAAGTTACCACAGCCAGCCATTACGTCGCCGCATATGGTGGGGGGAGCTCAAAAATGGCCGCGCCCGCATCCCCGCCGTATGCGGCGACCGTATGAAAGCAGCAAGGGCAGCGCTGTAGAAGAAGCCCTTGTATCCTATTACCGTACCTCCTTCTCTGCCTCTCAGGTCTCGCACATGCGCCGATTCACTGCAGTCCTCAGGAGCGAGATCTCAGATCTGCAGTGAAGCGGCGCAGGCGCGCATGTGTGAGATCTGAGAGGCAAAGAAGGAGGTACGGTAATAGGATACTAGGGCGGGCCAGACGAGTGATAGAGGCATGTTTGCCATAGTCTTGGAGACAGGGAGGGCTGGGCAGGCAGGGAGAGTTGACCAATCCAACCAGCCAATCGCCGGTAAGGTACATCACTTGCCGTGATTGGTTGGTTGTTTTGGTCAGCTCTGTTTTGGTTATACTGGGTACCACATACAGTTCAGCACCAGTATCTATACCTGTTCATACAGTTCAGCACCAGTATCTGTACCTGTTCATACAGTACAGTATCCAGTTTCTGTACCTGTTCGTACAGTACCAGTATCTGTACTTGTTCATACAGTACAGTACCAGTACAGTAAATACAGTACAGTATACAAATGTCCAACAGTCAAAACCCCATCATGGCTCCACCAGCAAGAAGAAAGAAATATGAAGCCAGTTTCAAACTTAAAGTTGTAAACTTTGCCTTGGAACATAATAACTGCGCTGCTGCAAGACAATATGGAGTAACAGAAAAGATGGTTTGGGATTGGAAAGCAAATGAAAAAGCATTAAAGAGTATGCCAAGGGGTAAGTGTACATTTAGAAGAGGCACCCCACATTGGCCAGAACTCGAAAAACATGTAGCAGACATGGTGAATGAGCATCGCCAAAACGGTTATGTAGTGACACGAAATAAAATACGTTTGTTTGCACTTCAGTGGGTCAAATCTAACCCAGATCACAGCAACAGATTTAAGGCCACTGTATCCTGGTGTACTAGATTCATGGGAAGGCATTATATGGTACTGAGGCAAAAGACGAAAATTGCCCAGAAATTACCTGCAGATCTTGATAGCAAAGAACATAGTTTCCATCGATACGTAATACAGCAGCGCACTAAACATGGCTATGCGTTAAGTAGTTTTGGAAATATGGATTAAACTCCAATGAATTTTAAAATGGTTGGAAATAAAACTGTCCATCAAAAAGGTGAAAAAACTATTTTAATTAAAACAGGACACAAGAAGTCCAGTTTTACAGTGGTACTAGGATGCACAGCTGATGGCGCCAAACTGAGACCAATGATTATTTTTAAAAGAAAAACAATTCCGAAACTCAAGTTCCCTGTTGGTTGTTTTGTACACGTGAATGAAAAAGGCTGGATGGATGAAGAAGCTATGGCTTGATAATGTATGGAGCAGGCGACAAGGTGGACTTATTCAAAAACGTAGTCTACTGGTGTGGGATATGTTTAGGGCTCATTTAACTCCCAGCACCAAGCAAAGGCTTGCAAGACTAAACACAGATGCGGCAGTTATTCCTGCAGGATTGACATCGTTGGTACAGCCACTGGATGTGTGCCTAAACAAGCCATTTAAAGATCGCATTCGAGAACAGTGGAATGAATGGATGGTTAGCGGCGAAAAGTCATTCACAAAAGGAGGAAACATGCGTGCTCCACAGTTGGATGTTTTGTGCAAGTTTGTCATAAAAGCTTGGAATGATATTGATGCAGAAACACTAATCAAGTCTTTCAAGAAGTGTGGCATATCAAATTCATTAGATGGTATGGAGGATGACTACTTGTGGCAAGATGAAGAGGAAGCCAAAGCTGAAACCACACCATCTGATACAGAATTCGATCCATACAATGACTGCCTTACAAATGTATCACAAGATGTCATTGATGTACTTATGATATCAGATGATGAACAGGAGGATTTTGAAGGCTTTTAAAGGGAAACTGTCACGCCAGCAAAACCTGTAAAAATACAGTGGCTTGCAGTTATGATGGGCGTTGCTAATTCGCCAGGGACTTGCTCTCTCTCCATTATTTGCTATCTTCCTCCTATCATCATCAGTTCCAGTTTAGTTGACAGCTTAGAAAACAAACAGCATGGCAGCTCCCATGGGTTTATTGTCGTATCCTTCCTTTCAGCTTTAGAGTGAATTAGGAAAAGTTTAATCCACTTGCGCTGTTTTATGTTTACATGTTTGATGACAAACAGCCTTATGTTTATAAGTGACAGTTTTCCTGCTAAGTACCTGCATGTCATAAGCATTTGAATTAAAATTACCATATTGAAATCAAATCTGATGTTTTTTAAATTTTTATTTAGTGTGCGTTGGAAGAGGGGTAGTCTTGTACGGTGAGTAATTTCCAAACTCTCTATTTTAACAGGAAAAGTTGGGGGTCGTCTTATACGCCCTGCCGTCTTATACGCCGGAAAATATGGTACTTTTGAAAAAATGTCCCAACTCAACTACTGTCAAAGTTTGGCTATTTTACATTTTGCCATTCAGGTTTAGATTCACTGCAATTTGTATAGTGAATTAACCTGCATCTTGTCCCTGGTAGATAATGGATAATAGTTGTTGAGGTTAAGTGGTTTCAGTGACTTTGGACTAAACCTGCCCTTTAAGAGTACCATAATTATCTAATTGAAAAGGCTATGTGTACCCATATGTGCTTATCTCTCCTGTAGAATAGGAGGGCAATATTTTTTAGTCACCCAAATGTACACTGATGGGAGGCTGTGGCCAAAATGTTAAAGGACCACTATAAGCACCCAGACCACTTCAGCTTAATGAGGTGGTCTGGGTGCCTGGTCCAGCTAGGTTTAACCCTTTTTTCTATAAACATAGCAGTTTCAGAGAAACTGCTATGTTTATAAATTGGTTAATCCAGCCTCTAGTGGCTTTCTCATTGACAGCCGCTAGAGGGCTTCCACGCTTCTCGCTGTGATTTTCACAGTGAGAAGACGCCAGCGTCCATAGGAAAGCATTGATAATGCGCATTCAGCATGCGCATTCAGTCGAAGAGGAAGAGAGGAGGCACTGGAGAAAGAGGTAAGTTTAACCCCTTCCTCCCCCCAGAGCCTGGCGGGAGGGGGACCCTGAGGGTGGGGGCACCCTCAGGGCACTATTGTGCCAGGAAAACAAGTATGTTTTCCTGGCACTATAGTGGTCCTTTAATGTTCCATGTTGCTCATCTTTTCATGCTGAAATATGCATGTTGCTGCTACATCTGCTTCATTTGAGTGGCCAATGAGGCCTAGGTAAGCCCAGACCCCCTAATTTGGGGTGGTTGTTGAGAATGTTGCACCTGGCTCTGGGTTTGCTAGCATAAAGAATGAATGTATTCCTATAACAGATTGTAAGAAGATTGTAAGGAGGTTGATTGGTTTATGGGATTGGTCAGTACTCAAAGAGATAAAGAAACCAAGGGAGTAGGTTCATTTTAGCACAGGATATATAACCCAAGCATGAGGTTCCTTATTATTGTTACTCTAATTTTTTTCTGAGTTTCTTTTGGCTAAACACATGTATTTAATAGGTTTATGGATGGTGATGTAACACATTCATTGCCAGAGATATAACCAGCACATTTAAAAGATATGTATGTGGCACACCACTGACAGCGTTAAGCCAGTTTATTTTCAGGCCATAAAAAGTGTAGTATTTTTCAAGTAACCGTAGAACTGCTTAAAAGGAAAAGAAGGGATTAATGCATGTAAGAAAGGTGCCTTCTGCATATGCAACAACAAGGTATGATTTACCTCAGTGGCGAAACTAGGACCGGTGCAGCCACTGCGGCTGCACCGGGAACCACACGGTCAGGGAGTCCATCGGGTGGTCCAGGCACTTAGAACCAAACAATGAGTATTATTTCTTTATTCCACAGCAGGTCAGTCGTGTGTTGTGGCCCTTTGTGAGTGTGACTGGGCCAATGAAGTATCGGCCAACTGGGTGGAAGTGATAAACAGCTGTTCACTTCATCGTAGCTTAATAAGCACCTTATAAGAGGGCGGGTGGAAGAGATGGCACAGACAGGCATCATTGGGTGAGATTGCTCCTAACCCCACGCTCTCTATCACGTCAGGCAGCAGGAGGACCATAAGCAACAACCCTCCTGAACACACAAAGTAAGCTAGCAGGAGGGTGGCTGTGAATAGAAAAAACAAACATGCCATTTATGTGTGTGTTTCAGATTGTGTGTGTGTGTGTGTGTGTGTATCTCTGTGTCAAGGTGTGTGCATGTGTCAGGTTGTGTGCATTTGTCAGTGTGTATGCGTATCCATGTGTCAGGGTGTGTGCACAGTCAGGTCCATAAATATTGGGACATTGACACAATTCTAATCTTTTTGGCTCTATTCACCACCACAATGGATTTAAAATGAAATGAACAAGATGTGCTTTAACTGCAAACTTTCAGCTTTAATTTGAGGGTATTTACATCCAAATCAGGTGAACGGTGTAGGAATTACAACAGGAGTCCCTGCTTCCCCAACAACCAGTCTCCAGGAGCTGCACTGCCTCCACTCCTCCATAATGAACAGAGGTAACTATATTAGTGTTCAAACTCAAGGAAATCGGTCTAGATGAAAATGCTTGTTCTTGGGTAGAACATTGGCTTAAAAACAGAGTACAAAGAGTTGTCATTAATGGTAAATTTTTAAGCTGGACAGAGGTGGCAAGTGGTGTCCCTCAGGGGTCTGTTCTGGGACCCCTTCTATTTAACATGTTTATAAATGATCTTGAAAACCGCATTGAAAGTCATGTTTCAGTGTTTGCAGATGACACCAAACTTTGTAAAACAATACAATGTGAGCAAGATATTACTTTGCTGCAGAGGGATTTAGATAGACTGGGGGACTGGGCACTCAAATGGCAGATGAAATTTAATGTTGAAAAATGCAAAGTTATGCACTTCGGCGTAAAGAATACACAAGCAACGTATACCCTTAATGGAAGCGAATTAGGGATAACAACACATGAAAAGGACTTGGGAATTGTTATAGACAACAAACTATGCAACAATGTGCAATGTCAATCAGCAGTGGCCAAGGCCAGTAAGGTATTGTCATGCATGAAAAAGGGCATTCATTCTCGGGACAAGAATATAATTTTGCCTCTTTATAAATCACTGGTAAGACCCCATATTGAATATGCTGTGCAATTTTGGGCACCTGTTCTAAAGAAGGATATTATGGCACTAGAAAAAGTGCAGAGGCGGGCTACAAAATTAATAAAAGGAATGGAACATATCAGCTATGAAGAAAGGTTAACAAATTTAAACCTATTTAGTTTAGAAAAACGTCGCCTGAGAGGGGATATGATAACATTATACAAATATGTTCGGGGCCAATACAAACCATTGTGTGGAAATCTATTCACAAACCGGACTTTACATAGGACACGAGGCCATGCGTTTAGACTGGAAGAAAGAAGATTTCGCCTAAGGCAAAGGAAAGGTTTTTTTACTGTAAGAACAATCAGGATGTGGAATTCTCTGCCTGAGGAAGTGGTTTTATCAGAGTCCATACAGATGTTCAAACGGCTACTAGATGCATACTTGCAAGAACAGAATATTCAAGGATATAATCTTTCAGTGTAGGGTAATAACTGCTTGATCCAAGGATAAATCTGACTGCCATTCTGGGGTCAAGAAGGAATTTTTTTCCTAGCTTGTTGCAAAATTGTGCTTCAAACTGTTTTTTTTTTGCCTTCTTTTGGATCAACAGCAAAAAACAAATGTGAGGTAGGCTGAACTTGATGGACGCAAGTCTCTTTTCAGCTATGTAACTATGTAACTATGTAACTATGTAACTATGTGCCTGCCTCTGTGTGTGTGTGTGTGTGTGTGTGTTTGTCTGTGTGTGTGTGTGTGTGAGACTGTGTGACTATCTGCCTGTGTGTGTGGCTGTGACTGTGTGTGTGTGTGTGACTGTCTGCCTGTGTGTGTGTGTGTGACTGTCTGCCTGTGTGTGTGTGTGTGTGTGTGTGTGTGTGTGAGACTGTCCGTCTGTGTGACTGGTCGTGTGTGTGACTGCCTGTGTGTGTGTGGGTGTGTGTGTGTGTGTGTGCCTGTCTGCCTGTGTGTGTGTGTGACTGCTGCTGTGTGTGTGTATGTGACTGCCTGTGTGTGTGTGACTGTCTGCCTGTGTGTGTGTGTCTGTCTGCTTGTGTGTGACAGTCTGCCTGTGTGTGTGTGTCTGTGTGTGCATGACTGTCTGCCTGTGTGTGTGTGACTGCCTGTGTGTGTGTGAATGCCTGTGTGTGTGTGTCTTTGTGTATGACTGTCTGCCCGTGTGTGTGCATGACTGCCTGTCTGTGTGTGTGACTGCCTGTGTGTGACTGTCTGTCTGTATGTGTTTGTGTGGCTGTCTGCCTGTGTGTGTGGCTGCCTGCCTGTGTGTGGCTGTGTGTGGCTGTCTGCATGTAAGTATGTGTGTAAGACTGTGTGTGGGGGGGGGGATGTCTGCCTGTGTGTGTGTGGGGCTGTCTGCCTGTATTTGTATGTGAGTGTGTTTATTTGCCTGTAACTGTGTGTGAGTGTGTTTATCTGCCTATAACTGTGTATGTGTTACTGCCTGTACCTGTGTGTTTCTGCCTGTGACTGTGTGCAAGTGGTGGATTTGACAATGTATATGTATAACTGTGTGCGTCTGACTCTGGGACTCTGTGCATATAACTCTGCAAAAATATACCCCTGCATTCACACATAGGCCTAAATGCATATTTTTATCTGAATTAAATATCTCTCACACACAGCCAATAAACCCAGCACAAATATCACATACAACCAATACACGCATATCACACACAGTTAACACACCCATTACAAATATCACACACAGCCAACACATAGCATATATATCAGACATAGTCCACCTATCACATATAGGGCCGGTTCAAGGATTTTTGGCAAAGATCCACTTTACTGCCCCTTGATTTCACTCACTCACTGACAGACACACACACGCTGACACAAATACACTCACTCACTGACACACACAGAAACTGACAGACATACACTCAATCACTGACACACACAGACACTCACTGACAGACATACACACACTCACTGACAGACAAACAATCACTCACTGACACACACAGACACACACACAGAAACTCACTGACAGACATTCACTCACTGACACACATATACTCACACAGACACTCACTAACAGACATTCACTCATTGACAGACAGACACACACATTCACTGACAGACATGTACTCACGCACTGACAGACAGACACATACACATACACTCACACAGACACTCACTGACAGACATACACTTACTCATACTCACTGACAGACATGCACTCACTCAATGACAGACAGACACACACACACACATTCACTGACAGACATACACTCACTCAGTGACAGACAGACACACAGACATTCACTGACATACATACACTGACACAGACACTCACTGACAGACATACACTCATACAGACACTCACTGACATACACTCACTGACAGACATACACACACAGACACTTACTGACAGACATACACTCACTGACAGACATACACTCACACAGACACACGAAGACACTCACTCACTGGCAAACACTCACCTCCCTGAGGTCCAGTGTGGGGCAGCTCCTCACTCCTCCCGCCAGCTGTTTAGTATGCTGGTGCCAGAATGATGTCATATCCTGGCTCCTGGCATCACAGAGGCCGTGCAAAAAGAGCCTCCCTCGCCGTCTGCCTGCTCCATCCCCTCTCCTCCGGTCACCGGCACTTGATGGCAGAGTAAGGCTCTGCCATACTGTGACAGGGCTCCTCTGGGTGCCCCCTCCTTCGGCTGCCTAGAGGAGCTCAAGAGCCGCTCGCCCAGCGCTGTGGCCCAAGACAGGGGAAGACCAGCAGAAAATATCCCGGTGGGCACCCCCAGCAGGCCGGTGCCCTAGGCGAACACCTAATTCGCCTAATGGTGGCGCCGGCCCTGATTACATACACAGAAAACACAATATTACATCATATTGTATTAGTTGTATTACAGTGGACAGGGCCGTCTTTAATAACGAATGGACCCTGGGCAAGTGTTTGCTTGGGCCCCCTGTGCCCTGCCGCTCTCGCCCCTCACTCCCTGGTATGCAATCACGGCATCCATCCCAACGCAGTGGCGGTACTAAAGTAGAATGAATTTTATTGGGACCCCCAATTGCAAGGTTGGACTAAAGGTAGAACCCCATCTGTCGTGCAACTCCAACAATGCTTTGACAGCTGGGACTCTACCAATTTCCCATGCTTGCAGGGTTGTATTTAGCACTGAGCCATGTTTGTATGTTTGAATGTAAGCATGTGTTTGTATGGAGTATGTTTGTGTGAATGTGTTTGTATGTGGTACTGGAGTTTGAATGCAAGTGTGCATTTATGTGTAGTGTTTGTTTTTGAATGTAGGAGTGTGCTTGTATGTAGTGTTGACGTTTCAATGCAGGAGTGTGTTTTATATGTAGTGTTGAAGTTTGAATGGAGGGGTGTATTTGTATTTAAAGTTGCGGCTCAGATGCACAGGTACACACTCTGACGCACAAGCAGATACACAGATACATACACTGACTACATACAGATAAACAGGCACATACACTGACAGACACACTGACACAGGTACATATATTGACACACACACAGACACATACACTGGTAGGCGTACTGACAGACATACTGACACAGGCACATATACAGACATACTGACACACAGACACATATACCGACATACTGACGCACACACACACATACACTGATCAACATACTGACACACATACACTGACAGAAATACTGACACCCACACACTGACAGATATACTGACACCCACATACACTGAGAAATACTGACACACACACACAGGCACATACACTGACACACACAGACTGATATACTGACACACACAGACACAGACATACTGGCACACAGACAGATATACTGACACATGCATACACATGCACTAACAGACATACTGACGCACTGACAGACATACTGACACATACACATATATACTGACACACAGACAGACAGACATACTGACACACACACACAGACATACTGACACACACACAGACATGCTGACACACACACACATACACTAACACACAGATACACATACACTAACACACAGATACACTAACACATGCACTAACACACTAACACATACACTAACACACACTGTACACACAAACACACAAACACACTAACACACACACTAACACACACACTAACACACACTAACACACATGCACTTTAACACACATACACTAACACACATACACACACACTAACACACATACACAAACACACACACTAACACACATACACTAACACACATACACTAACACACATACACTAACACACATACACACACACTAACACACATACACATACACACACACTAACACACATACACATACACACACACTAACACACATACACTAACACACACACTAACACACATACACTAACACACACATACACTAACACACACACATACACTAAACACACACACACACACACTAACACACACATACACTAACACACACACACACACAAACACACATTTTTTTTTTTTAAATGTAATCCCCCCAGCCTCCTTCACCTTTTGGAGTGCTGGGGGGGATTCCCTGGGGTCCAGTGGTGCTGCTGGGCTCCTTGGCGGGTGGCTGGTCGGGCAGGAAGGCGGGCGCGCGAGGGAGCACTCACTGCTTCCTCTTCAGCTCCCTCGCGCGCCGCGTAGGGATGCCGGCGCCGGAAGATGACATCATCTTCCGGCTCCGGTATCAGTGCGGTGCGCGAGGGAGCTGAAGAGGAAGCAGTGAGTGCTCCCTCGCGCGCTCGCCTTCCTGCCCGACCGGCCACCCGCCGGCTGGGGTCAGCAGGGCCAGCCTCGGGGGGGCCCTAAGGTGGCCGCCTCCTGGGCCCCCCAGGGAAAGACGCTGGCCCTGTGGGTGCATACCAGGGTCGCTGCCGCTACCCTGGTATGTACGCCACTGCCCTAAGTGCATGGGCCACCCGGTGGGACTCAGAGGATGGGGAAAAAAATAAATTGATGAGGGCAGCGGGGCCCATGGGGCAGGTGCCTCGGGCCCCCCAAGAGAAACTGGGCCCGGGGCAGCTGCCCCGTTTGCCCCGCGTTAAAGACGGCCCTGACAGTGGAGCTCTGGTATATAAAATGCACATTACTCTGTGTTTTATAGTTAGGGAGCTCGGTGATACACTAATAGACACATTACTTAGAGTTGTATTGTTGTGTATGATCTTGTCACATGGCTCTACATTACTGGGAGTTTTAGTGTTGTGGAGCTCTTCGATAAATGGAGAAGTAGCGCATTACTACAAATTTTTAATCCAAAGAGGTCAAGGTAAATAAGTATAATCCAGAGCTCCAAAGCAAAACCACTCACAGTATTATGTGACATACTTAGTCTGCTCCTCTGTAATGTAGGGGAGGCAGTCTGGCACTTCAGGCCTGCACTTCTGTTGGCTGCAGACCATAAGTAGCTGCCTTCCTAGCTAGGGATAATCAGAGCGCTGCAAGTCCCTGAGCTTGCAAGACAGTTACGCATGGTCTGTACCCAGTGGAGGGGCAGACTAGATTCAGATCAGTATGCCCCTTTCCCAACTAGGTAACAACAGGAAAGGAGGAATGAATATTTGTTAATAAATCCCTTATACAATGACTACACTCCTGTACCCACACACTACACATGG